TTGTTGATAAAAATTGTCATTGTATTGAAAGTAAGTTGATTTTACACATATTGTTAAAAGTTGAATAATGGTGTTAATGCTTAGTTGTGTGCGTTCTATAAGATTGGTGTCATTTTGCAATTTTTGTTCGATGATATTTAAAGTTTTATCAACAGGAACGTTAGTGAATAGACTAACAACATCAAAACTTACTAGAATATGGTTTGGATTTGTGTCTATGTCTGATAATTTTGGTAAAAAATGTTCAGAATTTTTAATATAGGAAGTTGTGTTATTTATTAGGGGATTTAAAATGTTTAAAAAATATTTGGCTAAGGGATGTGTAGGTGAAATAAAAAAAATACCCAAAAAAAAGTTTGTAAAAAAATGAATCCGCCTCAACAATATCGAACTTATCTACAACTTGAATAATGTTGTGATGCGTGCCTGTAAATTATCTCATATTGTCGATTTCTACTGCGAATAATCAGCTTTAATGACCCTGGTTTCTTCATACAGAGCCGCACTTTGCAATTTCGCTGGTTCTTCAGCAACCTTCTGCTTCTTCACGGCAAATTCCTCAAGATCGTCCTAATCCCATCCTGCCTGCTCGCATTTAAAGTCGCCAATTCACATGCAGAAGATGCACGCAATGTATGGGACCAAAAGCACCAGGGCATGAAATAGTGCCTTTCTCCTCCTAATTCTTCAACATCATTTATATAGAAATGAGTTTCTAATGCAGCTAGTTTTCCTTCTCAACTCGTCCCGTGTAGTCACGTAGCTTTTGCCCAATTTCGAGTGCATTTTTAGAGGAAAATCAGGTGAGGACAAAAGAGGCATTTTGGTTTTTGGCCCACACCAGCTCCATCTCTTTTCAGTTGTCGTTGAATCACTGTTCAATTAAACCTAGTTTGAATTTGAATATAATTCTTGAATGAAGATAATGAGCGTTTGCTACTGAACGCTCAAAACGCATAAACATGCCTGGAAGCGTAAGTGTTTTCTTAAGGGCCTTTCTTTTATGCACGCTGCTCTGTGTGGTGTTGGCGGAAGGAGGTCGGAAAAAGAAGGACGTTCATCATATGATCGTCTTAAACGAGGATGGGAGGCCTCCAAAAGTTCACAGGTATTCAGCCAATAACTTGTCCTTCAAGGCTCCTCCAAGAGGATTTTTAGAGTGAAAACCTCCTCTCTCGCATCGAGGCCGCGGCGCAAAAGAAAGCCTGCCAAGCCCAAAGCGCGCCCAGCTTCTTCAGAGGAAGAGGACAGTGAGGAGATGCACAAAGTACGTTTGAAAACTGCCAGCCTTCAAGGGAGTGTTTTGTTGACTCTTTCCAGGCCAAGTCCAAGAAGCGCTTCAAGAGCCATCAGAAGCCCAAAAAACCTCAAATTTCCATAGAGGATTATTCCTATGCTGATGCAAAATGGAACCCCGTCAGTTCTGGGGAAGTTTTCCACAAGCACCATCAACCCCCAGTGGTGCCAGTGAGCGGATCCATGCATTTGGGCTATCAGCCCGAACCAATGGAAATCACCACCTCCTACTCCGACTTCTACTCCACAGCTTTTCCAGCATTTTCCCCGATGTATCAACCTCCAAACTTCGGGAACATCCAGCAGCCCTACAGGCCGTTTGACTACTCAGCTGGGGAGCCTCAAAACAATGGCTATTTGAGTGGTGGAGTTTCGGAGAGCGACCAGCATGGAGACGCCAGTGCGGTCACGCCTTTCTCCATTGTGGTGGCGAGTGGGGAGGAAAAGGATCAGAAGGTTCAGGAACTGAAGAGGGAGACTTCCACCAAGCCGACTGGGAGGGGCAAGCTGAAGAAAGGTCGGGGCACCAGTAGGTTTAAAACGAAATGAAACGCCAGGTGGTTTTGAGCGTTGCATTATTTATTGTTCGTTGATTTTTGTAGGTTTTAGCAGTTAAAAACTTTAGTTGATTTGAGTGATTTTTTTGGGCGAGCGTAAAGCTACGTGTGTAAATGCGGCAACAAAAATGCTTAGTCATGCTTCAATTGACACCTTAAGCGCAATGAATCTGTCGTTTATGACAAGGTCCCTTTGGAAACAACAGATTGATTGATATTGAGGTGTCAATTTTAGCATGACTAAGCGTGAGTCATGGACAAGAAGTCAATATATTGACTAGAATCGCAATAGTCTGGTTAGCATACTGGCAATGCAGCACATTTGCTTCTTTTTATGGAACTTCGGCAAAATGCTGTCAGATTCGTAGCCGATGGCAACATCTCGATTAACCAGAGTCAAAATCGACAGCAACTCGCGTGTTTTATAGTGCTTCCGTAACATTTTGCACAAGGATTGAATAAACCAGCTTCCATTTTGAGTGTCGCGCCAAGCATAGTAACCTGGAAAAGTTGCCAGATTTACCAAGCCTTCATCAATCAACCCTGGATGTTTTCTCCTCCCGTTACCTTCCACAGTGGAGAACATGATCAAAATGTCCGCCAAATTCGGAATGGTATAAAACTCTTGATCCCTTCTTGGACTGTCGCTATGGATTCTGACTCCTGAGTCAGCTTGTTCTCCTCTACACGCCTGCAATGAGAATGAATGGAAACACTCTGAGTTCAGACACGTAACCGATCGAGCATTGCTGAGCCCACCTGTATAAAAAAGAGTTTGGGTTTCCCAGCCAGACTGGGGCATTGCGTCCCGGAAAACTTATGGATAACCTCATTGCTGTTGTATGGGCGATCTGTCGCATAAATCGTCCCAAAGCGGCCCCCATGGGATAGAATGGTCACCACCAGGCAGTCGTTGTTTGAATGGTCCATTTTTGATACTAAAACACCTTCAATAATGGCCATAATCCGCACATTTAAGCAAGCAATCTCCAACCGATATCCAGAGTTTCCATGATCTGATCGCACGTGTAGTCGTTGTAGATTTTCACATGAAACCCCATCATTTTAAGGACATTTTCCATGTTGTCGCGATCATGATCGGTGCCCCTTCGCGGTTTGCACAGCATCTGATCGAAGATCAGATGGTTGAAAATCAACGCTATGCCTCTGTTCCGGTGGCGCATGTGGTAGAATTCATCATCAGCAAGGGGGGCTGTAGATTTTTGTGAGTCAGTCTCAAGCCTAAAAAGTGTTCAATTGTAGAGGAGTTGACCACTCAGATTAATGATTAAATTAACTAATTTATTAATCTCTTTGGTTGACCATGAGAAAATCGATTTTTTCGATCAAAAACTAGGCAGTCATCAAGACAGGCTTGGTTAGTTCCTCGTAAATTTGCGAAAATCGCCGGGTTTTTCCGGTTTCGTACAAAAAATTGTTAATTTTCCAAATGAACAAGTTTCTCTTTATCGTTTTGTACAATTTTTTTCCCATCGGTGGTGTGATTTCAGTGCAAAACGACGAATTCTATTTTGGAAATTTTCTAACGTCTCTTTGASAGCTTGTGGTGCTGTCAAAATCGTTTGTTGACTGATTGCTCGGTCATCAGTGCGTTAAAAAAGGAACAAGAACAGGAACATGTTGACAAGTCACTWGGCTGAATCAGTGCCAGARMCRAKCCGACGATTTCTTCCTTTTTCCTTTATTGACCAACACTTTATAAATTTACATTTGTGACCTTCTTACGYCGAAAGGAATCGATTGAGCTCRAAAAACACRCATGYACATTTTTTTTCAATCGCTAATTTTCTAGCTTAAAGTCACATTTTCACTTCAGTCCTTCGAGAAACAAWTCCAACAAATAAAACACTTTTTCCGAAACGAACGTGTAAAAAYCGGTTYATTTAAAACTTCAATTGCAATAAATACTGCTTTACTGACAGCTGATTTCAAAGTTGTGTTTATATTTACTCGTTGCCATGACAAATCTCTTGTGTTCAAAGAGGCGACAAGCGATTGGTCGATCAGGTTTACTTACGTGTTTCCGGAAAAACACGTCACCAGTGACGGTTTCTAGGCAACGAAGGTTGTTGTTGATGTCTTCGATTGTGGAAAAGTAGCGATTTTGTGCGGAAAATACTCCTTGTGGAAGAAATGGATTATTGACGACTGGATGTGAGTGAAATTTTGATTTTTGGCCGAAATTTTTCCAACGGTGGGGTGGATTTTTTGAAAAAATTTAGATTTTCTTGAAACGTTTAAGACATTACATCATTTTCAGCTCACGGACCCGAGAAATGCATCGAACTCATTGGAAAAAATGCTAAAAGTTTCAGATCGGAAATAATAGACATTTTCGGCACATTTTAAGCGTTTTTGAGAGTTCGCGATCTTTAGCCGACGATTTCTTCCTTATTATTGTCCCAAACACTTTATAAATGCATATTTGTGAGTTTTTCCAAAGGGTGGGGATCGATTTTTCGAAAAAATGACTCTTTTTCTGTCTATTTTGAACGGTTTTTGAGCGGTCGCAATCTTCGACGGACGATGTCTTCCTTATTTTCGACCCACAACTTGCATGTTCGCTATTGGGCAACTTCTTAGGTCGGAAACAATCCAATAAGGGCAAAAAACGCGATTGCGAAATTTTGGTCGAAAATTTCATAAGGGTGGTAAGATTTTTCCAAAAAATTCAAGTGCCTCAAAATACCTCGAGTGATACCTCATTTTCATCGGAAAGAGACAAGGAATGCAACGAGCTAATTAAAAGACACCGGAACCTTTCCAGTTCCCAAATAATCCACATTTTCTGTCTATTTTGAACGGACGACATCTTCCTTATTTTCGACCCACAAATTGCATGTTCGCAATAATTTACAAATTTTCTTATAGACAGTGAATGTGTCGAGAATACACTTTGCAAACAATGTTCTAGTGGCAAAATGAGTTAATCGCCGTAAAATTCAAAGCATTTTGTTCGGGAAGTCGTCTTTTCCGTGACGATTGGACGCCCCTGGGTGGCAAATGTTAAGATTCTAAATGTTAAGAGTGGTAAGTTGGGGATGGACGAAGGCGGAATGGCGAAAAGAGCCTTTAAGAGCTAAGAATCGAAGACCTTTCGGGTCCCCTCACACGTACCACTACAACTAGATGCCCGTTTCCCGTGCCTTATTATCGAACAAAGCGCTGATACACCAAAAATAAAGCAAATATTAGCTTTAAGCAAAAACAATACATTTCACTCAATACCTGTTTGCTTGAGGTTTATAGAGGCCGTCTGGTTCACTCATTTGCTCGTTCGTATTCCACGTTAAATCGCGAACAGACGCTACAGATCAAAACAGCAATATCGCATCCTGCGGACTTTACCTATCGATTTTTGGTTATCTTATCATAAAAAAAATGTTTGACACACTTGCATTGCTTTATCCAGTTGGATGGATTAAGCCAGTTTCTAGAATTGCGGAGATGAAGTGTTTGTGCAACACTGACTCATTAAAGTGCGTCGTTTTCAGCCAGGCTGGCCAACTTTTCAAGCGCGTATTACCGTACAAGCCATTGGAAAATACCCTACTTTACCGAAGGTACCAGAGATTTTCAACCAGAAAGTCGAGAAAAACAAAAAAAGATCTTCCATCTGGGCTGAGGACAAAAAAGTTAAAAAAGGCCCCCCCTAGTGTAGGTCTCAGACATGAAGCTATCCAGATCGATAGCCTATTTGTTAGATAGCATTTTTTTAATCAAAAGCCTGATTACTTGATACTGATTAGCGTTCAATATTTTACACATATCCCGTCCAATAAACCGCTAGAAACTTGATTAGAGTGGGTATGGAGATGAGGATTAAAAGGAAAAGTATATTACATGAGTACTAATTAACAGCAATAACAAGTAAAAGAGGACAAAGCCAAACAATTCATGCTAGAACCCTTGAGTGTTGCGATTAGAATTTAAAAATCTTGGTTCGCTGCTCTGGGCGTGATAAGCCGCAGGTTTAGGAGGCTCTTGGTTGTACCAATTGTTCAATTTAGTAGCTGGCGGCTCATCAAAGTAGCCATCGTCTTCATAAACTGAAGAGCGTCCACTGTCCAGAGTGCCATGAGATCTGCGCAGGATCCTCGGCCTCGGAATGGTGTCATCGCTGCAAAACATTCAGTTTACTCACACCCCTCAGGACTTTAACGTGTTTGACTCACTATTGTAGAATGGGTGGCAGCTGGAACCGCTGAAAATTGCAAGGTTTCATCACAAAAATCCCTTGAATCTGCCCAGACTAAAGAGGAGGTTGCTTACTCGAATCGAAGCAACCATGCAAGAAACACCTGCCACCCAGTTGAAGATCCACAGCAAGTATCCTCGAGCAAACAAGGTCATCGCGATACCATAAGCGATTTTCCTTCCGATCTGGTAGCGGAACTGCGTATCCACCTGCTCGTCAAAATCGCAATTTTCCGATACATCACATTTCGCTACTGTATAGTCGAATGGGTTGATCGCCAGATAGTCAACCCAAGCCAATGCATAGATTATGGTGTCTAGAGTGCACATCAGCAATGTCGCTATCCCTAAGCTGAGCAGAATGTGGTTGCTGTGCTTGTGGGCTCTTCTTCGGAAAATCGCTGCAAACAGATGGTTTGCAAACTAATCTGGACGAAAGTAATGACGATGGAGCAACGGGTTGACTTACTGATGCATTCCGCAATGGCCAACCCCATCCAGATCACGCTCAGAACCGTGTAGATCCAGATAAATATGTGGAAGTTGCGCGAAATCAACTGCCGATTATTCTCCCTGTTGTTGCGATCTGGAAAAGTCGGGTAAGTGCCGATCGACTTGATCATTCTTCTTACTTAAAAAATTCTCGTATAGGCAGAAAGTTAACAAGTCGGTGTATGGCGTTTGATTAGTTATTTCGTATTCTAGATGGACTTGAGTTGGAATGTAGTAAAACACGATGCAGACCACTGATAGCACAAACCAGGCGAATCCCTGAATCTGAAAAAGTGCAGATTTAAGCTTAGTGGGCAAATAGACTAATCACAGAATTATTTGTTGTAAATCCACGACCTCTACCTCATTAGGGCGATCTTTTCTTTATTCCTAACTGATTGATGAGTTTGCAATTTAAATTCTACTTTGAAACTAGTTGAGCATAAACTGGAAATCAAGGGCGGACCCAAGGGGGGGCTCAGGGGGGTCAGGGGGG